TCGCTGGCCCCTCAAAATGTCATTCAGAGCTTCATCGGACAACTCCATTACCCTCTCCACCTGCTCCGTGAGGTTGCTCAAATCACCCGCTACTGGCCAATAGTGTTTCCACGGTACCATGAAGGCATTGAAGAACTCGGAAGGAGCGCCCTCCGGCTGCAAGATAACAGCGTTGCCATAGAACGACTGCCTAAGGCGTTCCGCCCAGTCCATGTTGTTCCCGATGTTCAGCACGGCCTGGTAATTGCAGAGCTGGTCAGGGAAGTCGACGTATGTCTCCTCCGCGGGCCTCACTTTCAAATCGGGGTTAAACTCGTTTGCGTTGCTGACCGACGTGTCAAAAATGTCTGGGCGCTGCTCCCCTAACCAATGGACATAGAGGCGGCCGTTGTCCGTGAAATTGCACGCGTTGATGCAAGTACCATACCTCATCGAATGTGACATGGCTTTGCCACGGAATACAGCCTTCTTGATGCGAGGCATGGTGGAGTTGCATGTGAAATAAGTTTTGACGTACTGGTCCCAGCCGACAACGGGAGTGTTCACGTAGCCCGTCGGGGAGCGATTGCACCCGAGCGCGAAAGGGACAGCGAACGGAGAGAACCTGGGGAGGGGTTGAGGAATACCAGATCTCTCCTGGGGTGCGTTCTGATCCGGATTCTGTGGCGTACCTGGCCGTCGTGACGAGGGCCCCCGGGAGGCCCCCCCGTATGCTTTTCTCTCCTCTGAGAACCGGCGGTGGTACGCCGTGCCAAGCACGGGATGAGTGCTGTTGAGGCCAGGGACGGACTGCACCCCGTCGTGCAGCCCGAAGGGGATCACGATCTCCAAATTTCGAGGGAGCGTCGGCACCACCTCTCGGAATTGAGAAGAGCAGGAACACATGAACCTAACAAGAACTGAACCGGGCGCCCGAGCCGGGGGTGCACCATACTAGTGAAATCTGGTGGAGCACGCTACTGCAGCTCCTGGATCCTCCTCTTACTTCTCATCCTTATCTTCCTTTTGGGCGGGATTGTTACGAGTCAGCTCTGAGCTGGTTCTGGGGCCACTGAGGCGTAGCCATCGGGTAGCTGTGCAGTAGAAGTGATGTGTTGGCGAAGTACCTGCGAAGTACCTTCGGCGTCGATCAGATAGACAAGAGGATCAAGCACGAGGTATTCGTCAGGATGCCACTTCCCGTAGGAACAGCGAGTGCTGCAACGGTTTTGTAGAATGGTGGACGGTACGAGTATCAAGACAATGGACGCGGGGTGCCTGCCGCAACCAATGGGGCAAACTGTGGCGCAATGGTGCACTAAATACGCGGCCGACGATTTGGTGGCTTGCCAAGGGGCCTGTCGCAAATATGGCGAAATATCTGGTGCAATGGAGCACACATCAGGCAACCGACGGTTTATTCGATTGCGGGGCCCTTGCCGCACACTATATTCTGGCGCAACCTGTGGCGCAAAGGTACTCCCAGCAGGCAAAGTACGAACTGAAAGACGATTGCGGGGTGCCTGTCGCCAACAGGCAAGGTACAAACTGAAGGACGATTGCGGGGTGCCTGTCGCAGCCTGTGGCGCAAAAGATGGTGAAATGAAACACCCGATATGCAACCGATGAACTGGTAGACTACGGGGCCCCTGTCGCAACCTATGGAACAACTTCTGGCGCAATGATACACCCAAAGAAGACAACTGAAGATTAGGGTAGATTGTGGAGTGCATGTCGCAACGTATGGCGCAACCTATGGCGCAATGGCGCACCTGATAAGCAACCGACGAGTTGGTCGAATGACGACCAGGAATTGCACAACGCCCGCCACCAAGAGGCCCAAGGTAGACTTTAAGAGGCCTCCAAGAGGCCTCCACGCAGCGCCCGGCAGGCTCCAAACGTGCCCTCCAAACTCCCAGGAGGCCTCCTCCTCATATTTCCTCCCGCTCCTCCTCCGAGTGCTATGTGGCGCAACCTATGGCAAAAGATGTTGAGGGTATCTTGGCGGGGTGATATGTGAAGAAGTCATTGGATGAGTAGACTATCCGTCTGAGGTTTCATTTCGGGGTCGCGGAAGTCTGACACTGTACCGCAGCAGCGCCCATGACGCAAAATGCACGCGAAAAGAATCGCTTGGGGGGCATTCCATCCAGCGAAATACATGCATTATATGGCAAAGAGGTAGCATGTAGGCAACTGTGTAGCGACGCGACTGTGGGCCAGTCGTGAAGCATGCCACTAGGAACTCATAAGATCACGCGGGCAAGCTAAATCAAAACATTTGAACAAGTCAGATGGTCAGGTTAACTGCGAAAACAAGCGGCGCTGGGAAGCCTGGCAGATCCGCATCATTTGGCACAGCTATGGAACAGAAAGAGGCCCTGGAATAGTTACGAGGGGATTACCGCAAGATCACGTCCCAGGCCTGGGCCCGGAGCCCAGCGCCCGACCAGAAGCCGCTCCCAATGGGAGCCCCATCGGCAGGCAGCGAAAACAGCATGGGCAACACACACCTTGGCAGAGAACTGTACTCCGATGCCATGGTCGTGCGACACATGACCTGTACTTCCTCCAAATCCTACGAGTTCGGCCGGCACACAAACGTGCATTTCTCCAGATTGCTGCAGCACCAAGAAGCCAGTGTCACGGCGGCCGACTCACAAAAAACCCTGAATCCACAAATGCTGACGTCTTGCTTTTGCTTGTGTGCAACTTGGCGTGTCAAGACCAAAAGACTATACAATTCATGACATCGTGCAACAGGCGCCCTTCTTTGAAGAGCACGCCACCTGGGGCCGCAACCCCCCTTCCTCCTCCGCCACCTCCTTCCTTCCTTCTGGCTTTTGCTTCCGCCGCCTTCCGCCAGCGGACACGCCGCCGGTTTACTTCTGCAGGCTTCCGCCGAAGGCGAGATGCGTCGAAGGCGAGGCCCCTTCTGGAACGCCCTGCGTGTGCTTCTGGCCCCTGAGCCTTGTCCAAGATCTGCGCGAGGGATTGGCCACGGCCCCACTCGTAGTCGGGCTCGGCAAGCATCTTGCCGCAGGTAGGCCTCCACGTTCTGTTCCTGATGTGGATCACAGCGTTGATGTACGCAGTCTCATCAGGAGAGCATGCGTCTGGCTGGTCGGCATAATCTATCGGACCGACCTCGGCAATCTCGTGCTCAACGACGGAGAACCATGCCCTAACTGTTTCTCGTACCTGCTCCTCCCTTTCGCGCGCTACACCGCTTGCAAATCTTGCGAACGAGGTCGGCGCGAAAGGCTGCTCGAGTGAGCCTGGGTCCCTCGCGCAAGGCCGCACACCCATACCCGCACCTGCCTCGCCTCCACACCCCCTCCGCGAAGCGGAGAGGAGGGGAAGGGAGGAGGGGGCAACGATAGAAGGAGACCGGCCCAGCGGAGGAGACATCTGGCTAGAATCGCCGATACATCGCCGATAGATCAGCAATAGGGCCCCGATGGCGAATCCGCACGCTCCTGGGCGGGGCGGGCTATCTGGACCCCGTCCGCGATGGATGGGCGAGTGGGGGTCGATGCGCCCCCCCCCCCTGAGCACGTCCCTCCCCTGACGCGGTCCCTGGGGAGCACGGGGCAAAATCACGGGTGATGGGCCCTGCACCTGTGCTTCAGCCCCAGCGCGACTGCTGCACACTGCGCCGCCAGCCAGAGGACGGCGAACAGCGGCGACGATGCCATCCGCGCGCCGCGGCGCGCGGAGGCTAAGAGGCCAAAACGGAATATGCAGTTCGGTGCAAAGCCACGCGGGAAGGCCCTATCGTAGCTCCGCGGCGATTGAGCCTCGCGCGGGAACAGATACTCGACGCCGTGGGCTGTCGGAGGGGCGAGAGCGGGGAGCACAAGGGCTTCGGGCGCCCCTCCTCCCGCCCGCGGCCCAGAGGATCACAACCATCCAAAACAGATATCCGACTTCCATTATGGATGGCTTGTCCCTCCACTTTGGGTGTGTTTCCCTCCGAGGTGAAGGTTCGCCCGTCCGCCCTGGAGGTCTAGAACTTTCCCCAGGACCGTCCTAGTATTCTCCCGATCCTATGGCTGACAGCCCAAGGGCCCGGCAAGGCCCCCCAGAGGCCGAAAACAACCAAAAACCTTCCGTTGCGTTTTGTTCTCCAGACACGTCTGGGCCAGACACGTCCAGGCGTGTGCTCCGACCAAAATGTTGAGGCGGATCCAGGCGTGGCGAGGAGAAACAAGCCAGAAGCCCCCACGGGCCGAAAGAAGGCCAGACACCTCGGACCTCTACCTCGACTCCCCGAGGACGCCTCATCTGAGAGTGCAGGCGCTACCTCGGGCTGCCCCGTGACCTCTACAGAGGTGCGATCTGCCCAGAGCTTCAACGGGAACCCAGCCGTGGCGACGAGAAGCCCCCAGAGGCCAAAACCGCGTGAAAAAAAAAACCTACAAAACATCCTTCCGTCGATGACAATGTCGATGTCGATGTAGATATCGATGTTGATGTCGATGCCGTCGCCGTCGACGCCGCCGCCGTCGCCATCGCCTTCGCCGTTGCCATCGCATTCGCCGTCGCCGTCGCCGTGGTCGTCGTCGTCGTCGTCGTCGTCGTCGTCCTCGTCGTCGTCGTCGTCGTCGTCGTCGTCGTCGTCGTCGTCGTCATCCGTCGTCCGTCGTCCGTAAACCGTCGTCCGTCGTCCGTCATCCGCTGTCCGCTGTCCGTCGTCCGTCACCTGTCGTCCGTCGTCCGTCGTCTGTCATCCGTCGCCCGTCGTCCGTCGCTTGTCGTCCGTCGTCGTCATTGACGACGACGACGGAGGCGACGTCGACAACGACGGCGCGCGAGAAGAGCGCGCCCCTGACCTCGTGTCTTGTGGACCTGGGACTGGCCTCGCATTCCAAGTCGCCTCGTGGTCGAGCAACGGCCCCCAGAAGCCGAAAGCGGCCAAAAACTTCCCGCCATTATTTTTGCCACGATCGACGATCCCGCGCGCGGGGGACAGCGTGCGGGGAGGAGGGACAGAGGGAGGGAGTGAAGGAGGTGAAGAAGGCAGGGAGGAAGGGAGGAGCAAGGAAGGGCGAGGAAGAGTAGGAGGAGGAGGAGAAGGAGAAGAAGAAGCAGGAGGAAACGTGGCAGCATCCGACGGATACACCTGCCAACAGCTGGAAGCTCGAGGGAGGAGAAGGAGGAGGAGGAGGAGGAGAAAAAGAAGGAGAAATATGAAGAGGAGGAGGGAGGCGGAGGGAGGAACGGACGGAGGAGTGAGGAGGAGGAGGGAGGGAAGGAGGGAGAGAGGAGGAGGCCTCCCTCCTCCTCCTCCTCCTCCTCCTCTTCCTCCTCCTCCTTCTCCTCCTCCTCCTCCTCCTGATCTAGCTCTTCCCGTTCATCCTCATCCACTCCTCCCTTGGCTGCTGCGGACCTCGTCTGGCCCAAGCCACGACGCCCTCGACCCATCCTCGCTCGTAAAAGGTTGCCTCGTCCTAGTCCTACTCGTATTGCTCCTCCCCTCCCTCGTTTTTCCTCCTCGTCCTGGTCATCCTCGTCCTGGTTCTCATCGCCCTGCTCCTCCACTCCCTCCCTCCTTCCCTCCCTCGGGCACAGCTGCGCACCAGCCTCCCACAACTCGGGAGAAACGAACGCCTCGAGCGATGGCTGGTCCACCCCATCGACTGCAGCGTGCTGGCCACTCCCTCCGTCCAGCAGCCCTAAGACGAAGGCAGGACGGGGACAAAATCGGAGTGGGATACATCGGGAGCCTCGGAGATACGTCGGTTCCGGAGGATGTATCGGGCGCCGCGGTCGTTCCAGAGCGCTCTGGGACGCGCGGCGAGCGTTCCAGAAAGCTCTGGAGAGACTTATCCTGGTCCTGGGCCCGCCCGAGCGTCATTGTCTCGCCTCGCCTCTGCGACAGCACGCCCCGCCCCGCAGGCGCTCCTCGCCCGCGAGCTTGCCCCCCCCGCCACCTCCCCCGGCCCCCCGCCTTCCCTCCCCGCCTTCCCTCCCCAATCCCCTCCGCTCCCTCCTTCTGGGCGGCCCCCCCTCAGGTTTTTCCTCTCATCCTGAGGCGTGTTTGATCACAAACGCGCCCGCCCGCTCCCACTCCTCCCCTGGAAGGACGGGGAAGGAAAGAAGGAAGGAAAGCATGTATGAAAAAAGGAAAAGAAGAAGAACGGAGAAAAAGGGAGAAGAAGGGAGGAGGAGGAGGAGGAGGAGGAGGAGGAGGAGGAGGACGAGGAGGAGGAGGAGGAACAGAAGGAGGAGGACCACCGCTAGGCCACGTCGTGCAACCGAGGACGGGAGGACGGGCCCAACAATCATACAGTAGTCAGGACTTGAGGAACAGCCCGACTTGGGGGTGGCGACCAGCCCGGATAGCAGCTATAGCATATGTCTGCTTACATCGGGCTGGCCCGATCTCCGGGAATCCAAGACAAGTCTCCTGCAACTTACACAGAGCAACTTTGCCACTGGACACCTGGTAGAAACCACATATGGTACAGACCATGGCCCGAGGGCTCACCATAACCTGATGCCCTTTGAGCTCGAAGATTTCTTCAAAGACGGCAACCGACTGTTGGCTAACAAAGGCCTCCTCAAAGCTTCCCAAGACTGGCATGAACGGACCCTCGCATGGCACAACTCACGTTGGAAAACATTGGGGCCCTTCAGCACAATACTGTGAACCACTAATCCTGAGCGGGGCGGCTTGCCCTCAAAATTCTTCAGAGGACGATCAGGACGACCGCTGCCAGCATCCCGAGCAACCATCTCGGCCGCTGCCCATGCAAAGCACGGCCCTCGAACGTCTTGACGATGACCTCTGGAAACGCGTGAACGAGAGCTCCTTGCTTGAGCACAAACTCCCACGGCAAACTGCTGGCAGCACCTTCGTCCAAATACCGCTTAAGAGCGAGATTCGACGGGAGCCGCGCAAAATGCGGGCGACCTTCTCCATCGGGAGATGTTGCCAAAATGGTGAAGCGCCAGATGTCGGCGTAGGTAGCCTGAGCGTCGGCCTGCTGGCGAGACCTACTAACTCCCTCCTGGACGAGCCACGGCACGTCAGGAACAACAAGGCTGGCGCAGGGCATGTGTCGGACAGCCTATAGGCCGGCAAACCGCTCCGCCCTGCCCGCAGTCAGACTGGGCCATCACAGGGGCCCATGCAACGCACGAGCAGGCATGCCATTGTCCCCCAACAAGGCAACCGACCATCCACATCTCCTGAGTTCTGGCCGACCCAGGGCCAGGTCAGACCTGTCACTACAGCATGAAAATGTTCCAAGAACTTATGCCAACTGCCCAATCACCCCAGCGCCCCACTTGCATATTATCTTCAACGCAAGGAGGCGCAAGTGAACTCATGAGCATCCCCGGGGAGGTCTCGAAGTAGGCCCAGTCCTGCTGCCCTGCTCCGGGCAGGCCCTTGTCCACAAAAGAACGCACGTAGTCCAGATCAGGATCCCGCTTAAAGTCATGAGTATCCTAGACATCCGGATAACATTCAGGACACGCGTAGAGCTCGCCCCCTAGGGCGGCCTTCCTGGCCGGGCACCAGCGGCATGCCCAGGCGACGCGACAGCCAGCGCGCGCGAGATGGCCACGAGACGGCAGCGCACCTGACCATGCTGATCGAAGGGCCCCAGTAAACCTGGGATGCTTCGCCACTGCCTTCCCTCATCCAATACATGTCCTGAATATCCTCGCCCATGTGATCTCTCCTCCCACGCGCGCGCCCTCGTGGCATTGTATAATCTCGGCGGCGGTGCTCAACCCCCAGTCGCGCGAGCTCCGCAATAGATCGCGGAGGCAGCCGCGCAAGATCAAGACGGTGACCCAAGTCACCGATGAGAGCCGCGCTGAAATACATGCACCAGCCAATTCGCGCCAGGGTCATCATTGGGACTGAGATTGGACTTTCAGCTGCAGCCCGGGTGGGCCGATCATTGACCGCGTCGCGAACCTCCTGCCAAGCCCTCCGGGGCCCCCCGAGACTGATCCTCTTATCCTGGGCGAGCGACGCATCTGCCTTGACGGCGCGCCAGGGTAGCGTCGTAGATCGGGCAGTACCTGGCGTCAGCCTACGTCGCCAGAGTACGCGTCATAGACAAAGACTTACTCGCGTGGCCTGCCAGCCTGCTAGCCGCCTGCCTCAGCCCAGCCAGCACCTCGCCATTGCCGCCTGCAACAGCGGCTCCGTGACCAGCTGCCGGCATCAATCCTGCGCGCCGCAACGCGGCGACGCGATGGCTGGCACCTCGTCGCGACATCTCGAGTCTGGGGAGCCTCTTCTCCAGCTGCCTCAGGCGTCAAGATTTCCGGCCCGAGACTTGGCCTTCAACTGGAGGCCCCCCCGAAACCGTGCGCGGCAGGAGCAGCCGCGGAAACCCGCATGGCTCCCTCGAAGAGCCCCACCGCCAGGCCACTCTTGAGCCATGAACCAAAAACCGAGAAACCGCACTGGGACAACTGTACTGAATCCCATGCACGGCCCCGCGCGCGAGGAGAGGAGGGCGGCAGTGCGAATACATCCCGCCAGAATTCCCTTCAACGCGGTGACAGACTTATTCCAACATACACGCGCGCACATTCTGAGAAGCACGCGCAAGAGCCCGATGGGGAGCTGCACCCGACGGGCCTCGGCGACCAACGCATCAAACAACACCGCCCCGAAGCCTTTCCACGCATCTACGAATATCGCGATGGGGCATTCGCCCAATCCCCC